AGTATGCAGAAAACAAAACCTCTCTCTGACTGCATTTTTCTAACCATCTCCTCTGCCTCTCGCTGCAGTGCAGACAAAAGCATCAGCGCTGCAGTGACGGGCCTGTGTGGGGCGACAGCCAAGGTAGAGCCCAGCCCATGCGTCTCTCTTTTCCAGAGAATAAGGAGAAAAACACTTCACAGTTTTTTCCCTTCCTACATTGACAATTTTCATTTTATTTTCTCATTGCTACTACACAGCAAATCAGGGCAGAGACACACACAAACTCACATATTTTACCTTCAGTTTGGGTTTAAGAAACTTGGACATGGTAACAGGTGTCTCGAGGGTGGCTACAATGCGTAATGTAAAACAACATTATTGGTTAAAACATTGAGATAGGTTAATAAAAATAGAACTGGGACAAATGCACATAAACTAGGGCTGCATGATTAATAGTATTTTAATCATGATTTCTGCTCCTCTCAATTAATCAATCATGATCATCTGCAATATTGGCCAGCTGGATATATTTCCTAAAAATGTTACCGATCTCCACTTGCGAAATTCTTCTCAAATGGAAGTGGCATACAGCCAGTCTGTGTTCCTTTAAGTGGCCAAAGTGCCATTTGATGCAAACCTACAAATGACGAACTGTATTAAATCCAAACATGGATCTCTTGACCACATTGTTTGTGAATGTGGTTGCAGAATAAACGCAGTTATGCAACCTCTGTGCTACAATACAAAGACTTTGATGTTTTAAATGTCATAACATAATTTGGATTTATTAAAATTAATATTAGGAATATCACCATTTCAGCTTTTGAAATATTTTTAAGGTTTTACCAGTTCATAATGTAGTCAGTGTGTTAATGTACTGTACATATGATAAATATAATCATTCAGAAAAAAATGATAAAAGTCCTGTGTATACATTAACATTCTCTGGAATTTTTTGCAATAATTCTGATCAAATGTAAAAACAACAACAACAACAACAAAAATCTCAAATAAGGACAGTCATGATTAAAAATCACACTTATAATTTTTGAGCAAAATAATTGTGATTATCAGTTCAACCATTATCGTGCAGCCCTAATATAAACCATTTAATACAATCAAGGCCTGGTTAAATTCAGGCCTTTTTGAGCCAAGGTAGAGCATGCAGTATTATATCAGCTCATGCAATAGCACAACACAGACCACAGGAAAGAGACCATCTGATACATGTCAAAGTGACAGAATAGACGTGAATGCAAAATAAGGGTGTCCCTTAGAGCCTGGTAAATAAAGTAGACCACTTCAGGTTTGTGTTACACCAGGATGCAATGTGAAACCAGTAGGGCTGGGTAAAAATTATCGATATCTCGTTTTTAATCGATTCTCATTTTTACAAAACGATATCGATTCTTAAATCCAAAGAATCGATTAGTCTAGCCTGTTTTCAGTTAATGGATGGAACATTGAAGCACACCTTCCATCCAATAAATCGCAATAAGCATTGTACGTTGATACTTTTAATAGGAAACAAAGTCTCAGATTTCAATTTATGTCCATTGTATTGCAGTATTCAAACAATAAATGCAGTTTTGGCGCCGTTTAATGTGGAGTAACAGATCGCTGTAGCGCCTCAGTTTAACAGACGTGAACTGATCATCTCCTCCACATTAATACCAGTTTCAGCACAAAATAAACATGACTAAACATCCGAAGGTAAGTGAGGTAAGTTAAAAGAAAGAGTACAACTTTACAATCCGTATTTTAACCTTCAATATTATAATGTAGAACCAACTGACTCTCATGTATATTTTACAGCATTGAAAATTTGAAAAAAAAAAGAAGAAAATTTGGCATGTAGACTACTGTACCTGATATATATACAAAATAATCTATATTGAATCTAATCTAATCGAATTGGTAATCGAATCGAATCGCAAGCTTGTGAATGAGAATCAAATCGAATCGTGAAATTTGTGTCAAAACCCAGCCCTAGAAACCAGAACAGACAATGGCACAACACACAGCCTTTGGCCTGTTTTCTATCAGCCGTACAAGGCATCATCCTAAGGCAACAGTAACCGGTCTCTGAATAATATCTGCGTCATTATGGACACAGGGCTGCTATGAATTCAATAATCAATTGTTTTTTTTTTTCAGTGGCACCATAATGACTAGAGGTCGACCGATATATCGGTAGGCCGATATATCGGGCCGATATTTGTCATTTTTTAATATATCGGCATCGGCCGATATCCGTGTTTAGTAGCGCCGATTTAAAGTCAGGCACGTCCGCGGGCAGCCCCATGTTATTGGTGCGGTGGAAAGTGCTGCTGCCGCATGTGAAGGACCCCAAGCCAAAACTTTTGGAAGATTCAACAACAGTCCTGGGAGATAAAGGTAAGGCTTAAATTCTGATATTTCAAAGTCCTATGGCCATATATTTACTATATATTACTAGTAAACTATGAAGTGTTGCTTCACTTAGTGAAAGAAAAAACGAATAGCATAGAACCGTCGGGAACTGGCATAATGCTACAGCTGGTTAAAGGTTCGCTTACTTGCAGTTAACTTTAAGGACTGTAGTCGAAAACTATCAGCAGCTTGCTTGCTAACATATTAGCCCCAATGTTATAAGTTCTGTTTTATTTTTCCTGTATCGGAGTCGGAGAATTTCACTCTGTGATGACCTGCACCAACTAATTTCAACATCAGGATTGGTGCAACAGCTTGAAACAAGAAGATTTCTAAAATATGGTAGATTTAAGCAACTACTTGCCTTATTTATATGCAAAAAACTAACTGCAAAACTAAACAAAGTATGGGACCCTGACACTTGGGAGGGGTCAACAAAAATAGTTACACAGCTGCACAAAGGCAACATGTCCCAAAGGAAACCCCCACCCTCCCTTACGACGACCCTGCATGTTATGAGTTTCGTTATAAGACAGAAGACCACACCCTTTGAAAGATTCTCAACAATTTCAGAATGCATGCCATCAGCCTTTGAGGAAACAGGATGAGGAGAACAATGAACATCGATGTATTTGTTTCCGAAACACACTAGACTGTCTACACTGTTGTACAGAGACCAACAAAAGTGTAAAATTCCAGACGCTGATATGACAGGCAGTGCAAGGTTATTTCATAATGCGCAATAGCACAGAGGCACCAGAATTGAAAATAGGCCTCAAGTGCTGATTAAGGGCAACTAAAAATGTAACTGGAAAAGTCATATTATTAGATATATAGCTTTTATGTCTCATAGAGATTAGTTTCTGTGTCTGATTTTAAGAACATTACATTTTATGTAACATTCAGAACATTTTAACTACTGGTTTATTGCTTTTTAGCACAAATAATACATCATTTAAAATGTTAATTTAAAAAAATTATGAATATAAATACATCATGTATGACTACTGGTGTTATTTATGCCATTGAAATTACGCAAAATTATTTTGCAATCTAAATGGTTGCACATTTATTTTCATCTCTGGTGCCAATTACTAATAATTATCCAGAACTAAATTTATTTAAAAAATGTATTGTATTTGTTTGAGCAAGTAATTTATTCCTTTATTTTCCTATTATTACATTTATTTATTATTTTTGCAAGCTTTGTCTTTCATTTATTATCAGCAGGTCTGATTTTAATATCAAACCAATTATCTGTCTGTCAATTATAATGAATAAGGGGCCCAGTATGAATATTGCAGTTTATAAGCAATGCATGCTAATGTCTGAACACAAAAACATTCATCTTTTTGACTTCAGGAGCTTTTTTATTTGCTCAGCAGGGCTGTTGGCATGTCAGCAGTTGGCGTGCATATTAAGTCACTGCTTCACTATAAAAGTCTATGGCTTCAAAAAGCAATGGTGCAAAGCGTTAAAATCTTGCAGGCATTTTCAGAGGCAGATTTTTTTTTTTCTTTGCATACACTTTGCATAAGCCAGAACTTAAGACAGTGCAGTACAGAATATAATATAGTGACAACATAACACACTATCCATTACTCCATAACTCCATCCACACAGTTTAGCCAGATAAGTGCAATTTAATTATTAATAAAATAATTATGACCTGCCTTCAAAGAGTTTATACAGCATATATTTTATTTTAATAACAGTCCAAACATTGTTATACCAGAGGTTTTCCAACATTCACACATTTTATAGGAATAAACCATTATCTAACCAAAACTTAAAGCTATGGTTATGCATGTTTATAATAAACACTGTAGCGTTACATTTAAGAAGACCATCAGGAAACAATAAAAGCCAAGCAAAAGCCCAGGCCTCATTTCAGAGCATTAATCCAATGATATAGCCTGAATGCATATGTCTAATTCACATTAAGCCAATTAAAATACACAAATTGTGTATTCTGAATCGATAGAACAAGGCACACTGTTGAAACGAATGTCTTTGTTTGGAAGAGCATTTGGAATTGGAGGTTGCTGGTTTATCTGCAAGTACTGATGCCTTCCCTATAAACCTAATTAATATAATTAAGTTAGGTTTTAATTTAATAATTTAAAATGTCCCTATGCAGTCACATATATTTAAATGAATCCTGCACACTGTCCTGTATCCGCGCATGTTTAATTTATAATCTAGCCGTGAATATAGGTTAGCTCTCTGATTTAAATTAATCCTGCACTGTCCTGTATCCGCGCATGTTTAATTTATAATCTAGCCGTGAATATAGGTTAGCTCTCTGCAGCTAACTACTCCATTGGGCAGGGCAATGAAAAGCTTGTCTGAAAAACGTATATAATTCATGATATTGGCATAACAATGTAATAACAGTACATTTATAGTAAAATGAGAGAGGCGTGCTGTTCTGTATATCATTAAACAGATGAAAACGGTCGTTGAAACGCCCAGCACGGCCCTCAGCATAGCAAACGCGGCATAAACCCAAGCATTCCTTTAGTTTTGCACCAAAACGTCCAGGTATTGTGCTTTCTTTGTAAAAATACAGAACTGTACAACTGAAATGTTGTATAATATCCTACCTTGCCGAAGGATTTGCTCTGTTTTTCTGGGGCTGGGTGGCGACCTCAACGAATGAAATAGCAGCGTAGCGCGAGCGATCGAATGGAACGCGCTGCGCGTAGTGCGCGAGACAGTGACATCATTCACTGCAGCAACGAGCCGAACGCTGACGGAAAATGCCGAAGCTGTCTAGTGCGCCCCATAGTGCTTTGAACTTCTGTGTTCTACATAAAACAAAATAAATATATGTAATATATTTATTTATATTTCTGTATATAACAAATAAATGCTGGCTCATTTGATTTAGCAATTTGCTGCTGAACGTCAATTTTGGATAGTTGATCAATTTAATTTGGTGAATTTCCTGACTGTAATGAATTTAATTGATTCTGTGTCTATTTGTTAAATTCCTGGCAGTACTCCTGGTCTGGAAAACACTGCCATAATAAATATGGCTGGCATTCTAGGATTTCTGCTGTATCACAGTGTCTTGGCACATCCAGGTGAAATTTGCAAGAATGCCTATAGACCAGTGGTTCCCAACCTTTTTCAACTCGCAGCCCACACAACCAAACACATATGTTTCCGAGGCCCACTGCAAAAAAAATAACTGACCCCGCTATTTGTTGGGTTAATAACTGAGTACTCAGAAGCTAGATTGTTAACAGTCTTTATTGAATGAACTGGCAATGAACAATAAATGCATTCAAAATATCAAATATGGCTTCGGCAGTTGATTGAGTCGGCAGCGACTTACAGAAAAGGAAATCCTCTTGTAATTCTCCGTTATGTACATACCGTACATAAGCAATGAGGTTGGAAAGGTTTGCTATATCGGTCGATTCATCCAACTGTAGGGCATAAAAGGGACTCTATCGAATGTTTTAACCCAACTTCTGAGTTATGACATCTGCCATTTCATTTATTCTTCGCTCAACTGTATTATCTGAAAGTGAAATCAGATTTAACTGCTTGCTGGCCTTTTCTCCACACATCACGCCAACCATTTCTTTCGTGGCAGGTAAAATCAAATTTTCACCAACTGTGTGAGGTTTTCCAGCCTTTGCGATGAGCTTTGCTACACGATAAGATGCCTCCACTGCTTTAATGTTGTCGTTGCCAGAGAACCATTATTTATTTTTTATATATTTTATATTTTTCAGTTTAATTGATTTTTATTTATAAAGTTGTATTTATTTTATTTAAATGTATATTTAAGTTTACATTTATGTTCCAACGAACTTGAAAAATTCTGCTTGATAAATGCTCTAAAACTTTTATGTAAATGATTGACAGTTTTTTTTTTTGTTTTTTTTATATTACCTGTTTTATATATTTAATACTTGGTAAGTTTATTGATTTGTTTGGTTAACTTTGGATAAATATTTTATTTTAATACCGTGCAGTGCACAAAATTAAGATTCGAGAGATGGTTCAAGTCAGTGTTCAATAAATGATGATGTTAAGTTTAGAAATGTTGTGCATCCACTTATTATTAGTGTGACATTTTAGCATGCAAATGAAGGGGAAAACTTCAAGATATCGGCCCTAAAAATCGGCAGCACATATCGGCCATCGGCTGACCCTGACCTCTAAACATCGGCATCGGTTATAGAAAAACCCATATCGGTCAATCTCTAATAATGACCTGCACCAACTAATTTCAACATCAGGATTGGTGCAACAGCTTGAAACAAGAAGATTTCTAAAATATGGTAGATTTAAGCAACTACTTGCCTTATTTATATGCAAAAAACTAACTGCAAAACTAAACAAAGTATGGGACCCTGACACTTGGGAGGGGTCAACAAAAATAGTTACACAGCTGCACAAAGGCAACATGTCCCAAAGGAAACCCCCACCCTCCCTTACGACGACCCTGCATGTTATGAGTTTCGTTATAAGACAGAAGACCACACCCTTTGAAAGATTCTCAACAATTTCAGAATGCATGCCATCAGCCTTTGAGGAAACAGGATGAGGAGAACAATGAACATCGATGTATTTGTTTCCGAAACACACTAGACTGTCTACACTGTTGTACAGAGACCAACAAAAGTGTAAAATTCCAGACGCTGATATGACAGGCAGTGCAAGGTTATTTCATAATGCGCAATAGCACAGAGGCACCAGAATTGAAAATAGGCCTCAAGTGCTGATTAAGGGCAACTAAAAATGTAACTGGAAAAGTCATATTATTAGATATATAGCTTTTATGTCTCATAGAGATTAGTTTCTGTGTCTGATTTTAAGAACATTACATTTTATGTAACATTCAGAACATTTTAACTACTGGTTTATTGCTTTTTAGCACAAATAATACATCATTTAAAATGTTAATTTAAAAAAATTATGAATATAAATACATCATGTATGACTACTGGTGTTATTTATGCCATTGAAATTACGCAAAATTATTTTGCAATCTAAATGGTTGCACATTTATTTTCATCTCTGGTGCCAATTACTAATAATTATCCAGAACTAAATTTATTTAAAAAATGTATTGTATTTGTTTGAGCAAGTAATTTATTCCTTTATTTTCCTATTATTACATTTATTTATTATTTTTGCAAGCTTTGTCTTTCATTTATTATCAGCAGGTCTGATTTTAATATCAAACCAATTATCTGTCTGTCAATTATAATGAATAAGGGGCCCAGTATGAATATTGCAGTTTATAAGCAATGCATGCTAATGTCTGAACACAAAAACATTCATCTTTTTGACTTCAGGAGCTTTTTTATTTGCTCAGCAGGGCTGTTGGCATGTCAGCAGTTGGCGTGCATATTAAGTCACTGCTTCACTATAAAAGTCTATGGCTTCAAAAAGCAATGGTGCAAAGCGTTAAAATCTTGCAGGCATTTTCAGAGGCAGATTTTTTTTTTTCTTTGCATACACTTTGCATAAGCCAGAACTTAAGACAGTGCAGTACAGAATATAATATAGTGACAACATAACACACTATCCATTACTCCATAACTCCATCCACACAGTTTAGCCAGATAAGTGCAATTTAATTATTAATAAAATAATTATGACCTGCCTTCAAAGAGTTTATACAGCATATATTTTATTTTAATAACAGTCCAAACATTGTTATACCAGAGGTTTTCCAACATTCACACATTTTATAGGAATAAACCATTATCTAACCAAAACTTAAAGCTATGGTTATGCATGTTTATAATAAACACTGTAGCGTTACATTTAAGAAGACCATCAGGAAACAATAAAAGCCAAGCAAAAGCCCAGGCCTCATTTCAGAGCATTAATCCAATGATATAGCCTGAATGCATATGTCTAATTCACATTAAGCCAATTAAAATACACAAATTGTGTATTCTGAATCGATAGAACAAGGCACACTGTTGAAACGAATGTCTTTGTTTGGAAGAGCATTTGGAATTGGAGGTTGCTGGTTTATCTGCAAGTACTGATGCCTTCCCTATAAACCTAATTAATATAATTAAGTTAGGTTTTAATTTAATAATTTAAAATGTCCCTATGCAGTCACATATATTTAAATGAATCCTGCACACTGTCCTGTATCCGCGCATGTTTAATTTATAATCTAGCCGTGAATATAGGTTAGCTCTCTGCAGCTAACGACTCCATTGGGCCGGGCAATGAAAAGCTTGTCTGAAAAACGTATATAATTCATGATATTGGCATAACAATGTAATAACAGTACATTTATAGTAAAATGAGAGAGGCGTGCTGTTCTGTATATCATTAAACAGATGAAAACGGTCGTTGAAACGCCCAGCACGGCCCTCAGCATAGCAAACGCGGCATAAACCCAAGCATTCCTTTAGTTTTGCACCAAAACGTCCAGGTATTGTGCTTTCTTTGTAAAAATACAGAACTGTACAACTGAAATGTTGTATAATATCCTACCTTGCCGAAGGATTTGCTCTGTTTTTCTGGGGCTGGGTGGAGACCTCAACGAATGAAATAGCAGCGTACCGCGAGCGATCGAATGGAACGCGCTGCGCGTAGTGCGCGAGACAGTGACATCATTCACTGCAGCAACGAGCCGAACGCTGACGGAAAATGCCGAAGCTGTCTAGTGCGCCCCATAGTGCTTTGAACTTCTGTGTTCTACATAAAACAAAATAAATATATGTAATATATTTATTTATATTTCTGTATATAACAAATAAATGCTGGCTCATTTGATTTAGCAATTTGCTGCTGAACGTCAATTTTGGATAGTTGATCAATTTAATTTGGTGAATTTCCTGACTGTAATGAATTTAATTGATTCTGTGTCTATTTGTTAAATTCCTGGCAGTACTCCTGGTCTGGAAAACACTGCCATAATAAATATGGCTGGCATTCTAGGATTTCTGCTGTATCACAGTGTCTTGGCACATCCAGGTGAAATTTGCAAGAATGCCTATAGACCAGTGGTTCCCAACCTTTTTCAACTCGCAGCCCACACAACCAAACACATATGTTTCCGAGGCCCACTGCAAAAAAAATAACTGACCCCGCTATTTGTTGGGTTAATAACTGAGTACTCAGAAGCTAGATTGTTAACAGTCTTTATTGAATGAACTGGCAATGAACAATAAATGCATTCAAAATATCAAATATGGCTTCGGCAGTTGATTGAGTCGGCAGCGACTTACTTATTTCTTTTAATAGTAATTGGCGGCCCCCCTGCAATACCGTCGCGGCCCACAGGTTGAAAACCACTGCTATAGACTAAATAAAACAGGACAATAATCAAAAAAGACCAACTGAAACAATTCAATTCAAGTGTATTTGTATAGTGCTTTTCACGATACAAATCGTTGCAAAGCAGCTTTACAGAAAATTACGTTTCTACAATATATTTAGTAGTAACTTAGTGGTGACTTTGTCAAATTGATGTACATATGGCAGAAATGTACAGTAAAAGTCAGTTAATGACGTCATCAAACAGACGATGAACACTATTAACAGCAATAATTATATGTTGCAATCAAAGATTCAGGGTTGGCATCATCTGAGGTCCTCTGAGGGGTTGGCATCATCTCTTCTCAGGTGTTCGGTCATCTCAGGTCTTTGTAAGGGCTGAATCCAGACTGAAGCTTGTGTAATTCTTACCACAGGATGTCAATCAGTGTCAGAAACAGAGAAACAAATAGAGACATAATTAGTGCTGTTCCAACCAAGCAAAAATGATTTGTTCAACCCAAGCTAAAGAATAATAATGTGCATTTGATCAGATATAACTGCAGTACAAGATTATGAGATGCATTATTTGAATGCTTGGCCACAGAGATGTGTCTTTAATCTAGATTTAAACAGAGAATGTGTGTCTGAACCCCGAACATTATCGGGAAGGCTATTCCAGAGTTTGGGAGCCAAATGCGAAAAAGCTCTACCTCCTTTAGTGGACTTTGCTATCCTAGGTACTACCGAAAATCCAGAGTATTGCGACCTTAGGGAGCGTGATGGATTGTAGCGTGGTAGAAGACAAGTTAGGTACGCAGGAGCTAACCCATTAAGGGCCTTGTAGGTAAGTAAACAGTTTCTGAGTCAAAACAGCTTGACAGAGATGATGACAGAGATCATCTGACTGACATAATTTTCTTTTCTGACTAAAGCATTTCTGGTAGTACCTCATGGAAGACAGTAATACGGGTATTAAAGGAGACATTTTTGTAAATATAGGCTCGCTAATAATCTTTAAAGGGGTCATATGATGCTTTTATAAAGATCATTATTTTGTGTATTTGGTGTAACAGAATATGTTGACATGCTTTAATGTTCAAAAAACACATTATTTTTCAAATACTGTACATTATTGTAGGTCCTCTATGCCCCGCCTCTCTCAAACGCTTCGTTTTCTACAAAGTCCCTCCTTCCGACAAGCGCAGTCTGCTCTGATTGGCCAGCTGACCCAGTGCATTGTGATTGGCCGAACACCGCAAGCACTCGTAGGAAATGTAACGCCCCTTACCATAATCGCGAGCTTCATCTTTCAAAATAAATGTAAAGACAGTAAATAATGTCATTCGTTTTACCATCAGTTCAAGCCCGAAAGGGGAGCAGACACAGTAATGATGCAGTACACAAGCCGCAGTTAAGACAGCTGACTCCACTTTGATGTGACTGTCTCTCTCTCTCTCCTCACACAAACACACACACACACACGATGCGCAAAACTCCGCATTTGAACAGTCAATAGCAAATACTTAAACTAGTAACAAAACAACAGTAGCTGATTCAGAAGCGCCACATTGTCATAGCAAAGTCAGAATTACCTCCTCT